ACGATTTTAGAAAGCCTAATAAATGTGTCGTCAAACCTGCGTGGCTTATTTCATAAATCTAGCATTGTGTCTGCACTTTCCCTGGCGCCACCCAGGTGTCCATATGGATGTGAGTCAGCGCAGTGCTACAAGAAAAACACGGCTGCTAACAGAGGGCTTCCCTCAATAAATAATGGGGTTGGAAAAAAATGTTATTGAACAATGAATCAGTGTCCTCAATTTGCTATTCAGGGTTTTGTGGTTAGTCTAGTCTTTCTTTTTGTATTGATCTGGATCATAGATCGAGCATGACGTTTTCCCGATGTCCTTGTATGAAGGGAAAGGCTTTCACTAGCTACATTAACCACGTACTTTATAACAACTTATACCAACCGCATTTGATGTTCTTTGCATGGGATGCTGTGCAGGTTTGGAGAAATGCAAATTCGAATTGATTCATGCACATGGATCATTTTCAGACTTGCACATAATATTGATTTTGAACTCGTTGCGTCTTCCATTTGTCTTTTAAACGTCAGTGGACTGGACAGCATTCTTTAAAGTAGCAGAAGAAATTTATTTAAATTATACGTTGCCGTGGAAAAGTATTTGCCCTCTGCTCACACTGATTATTTTGCATAGTTTCCCCCACTTAAATGTTAAGATCGTCAAACACATGTAAATATCAGACAAAATAATCCAAGTAAACATAAAATGCAGTTTTTAAAGGATGGTTTTACTGAGGGAAAAAAAAAAATTCAAAGCTAACTCATCCTGTGTGGAAAAAGCACCCTTTGAATTAACAGTTGCTAATCACATTTTCTGAAAAGCTGAGTTCATTTTTACTGACCACATTCAAGCCTGATTACCTTCAGATCTGTTTAATCAGTTAATCACTTAAATGGAACCTGTCTGGCAAAATAAAGTCAGCCAAACTATCGAAAAAAAAACTACAACAAAAGGCCACGATCCAAAGAAATTCCAAAACAGATGAGGAAAAAAGTAATTGACATCTATCAGTGAGAAAACGTGTAACAGTGGCGAACCTTCCCAGGAATGGCTGCCCTACAGAATTTACCTCAAGAGCACAGTAACAACTCATTCAGGAGCTCACAAAGAACCCAAGACAACATCGAAAGAACTGCAATAAGGAAGAGACTGGGCAAAAATTACGTCCATGGCAGAATTCAAAGGCGAAAACCACTGCTTGCGCAAAAAGGCTCATTTAAAATAAAAATAATTGGAATGATTCCCAAGACTTTTAGGTGAATATTCTATGGACGGATGAGACTATAGTTTAACTTTTTGGAAGGCGTGTGTCTCGTTCCATCTGGCGTAAATGTAACACAGCATTTCAGAAAAAGGTCATCATAGAAACAGTCATACATGGTGGTGTTACTGTGATGGTCTGGTTTCTTGCTTCTTCAGGACCTGGACGACTTGCTGTGATTGAACCATGAATTCTGCTTCGTACCAGAAGCAGCAGTTACTGCTGAGGGTGGCCCAAGCAGTTATTTGTCGGCGTGTAACGATACATCGTTTTAATCGATGTGTCTGCACCGCGATCCAACTACATGGATCGCGCTGGACTAGTTTACATCGATATTAGCCACGCAGTGACACAATATCATTTTTATGAGTTCTGTAATTGATCGGTTGAATCGGCATAGTTAACAAAATAATTTTATACTCCAAATTCCCTATGCCCTTTTATTTTTGAAAATGCTGAGTGAAATCTCACATGAGCATGACAATTTGTCCAACGCATCTTGACCAGCCCCCATGCAATACAAACAGCATCAAACTGGAATCAGCGACGGTTGCCGTGCAGGTTAATTTAATGTGAAAATATCAAAGTTTAATACGTACTTGTGTTTTCTTGCCGCAAACATGATTTCGTTGTAGAGGAGTTTCACTGTATATATATATATATATAGATATATAGATATATAGATATATAGATATATATATAATATAAATTGTTCCTCAAAACAGAATGTTGGATATTTTTCAGATATATGAAGCACTTTATCAAAAGGGTTTGTTTACATTGATGCATTAATGCATAAAAAGAGCCAGCTTATTCTAATAATAAGGTAATAAGGTAGTGTATAAAACAAGAATTGGATTTTCCTGTTGCACTTTAACTATGTAAGAATATAAAGAGAACTAGCTTTATATTATATCACTGTTGTTGTTTATTTACATTTTGGAATCTGCAAAGCTGAACTGGTTTTAAAATAAGAGCCAATGGAAGAAAATTTGTGGTTGGCATTACCCTTAAAAAGTTTAGCTTTATTTACAGAAAAGCCATTGATAGTGTATCATTATATTGTATCGAAAATGCATTTACCATATCGAAGTGTATTATAAAAAAAAAAAAGCGATATTGCCTTGTGTCGAATTGTTAAGCCTTATTTCGATATATATTGTATCGTTCAAAAAAATCATTACATCCCTAGTTATTTGGTTTAGGAGAGGAGTGAACAATGAATACTGTAGTTTGTTTTCTTTAACAAAAAAAATAACCATTTAAAAACTGCATTTTATGCTCAATGAGGTATCCTTTTCTGATATTTACGTAATTTGTGTAACCTTGAAGGGGGGAAAAATATGCAAAAATGTATAAATTTGAGAAGAGGAAAAAAAGACGTTTTTATGGCACTATACATAACGTTTAAGCTACAGCAATGAAAAAAAACAAATGGAATCCCCAAAACATGATTAAAACAAAGTCAGAGTCAGGCAAGGTTTTCATGAAAATGCTGGGGGAAAAAATGTAACAGGAAGCAGACAAGACAGGACGGTTACTAAAGTGGTTTGCACATCTGCATTACAGTTCTGAAGTTCTGGGTTTGAATCGAGGCTACGTCCTTCCTGTGTGGATTTTGCTTGTCCTCTGGATTAGTCCTTTCAACATTCCCAAAATATTAGGTACATTTGAAGATGCTGAATTGTCCATGGCTTTAATGTGACTGTTTGTCTATGTCTCCTGCAATTGGCTGGTGAAGAGTCCTCACCTCTCGTTGAAGGTCAACTGGAATAGGTTCCAGCTCACCTACGACTCTCATGAGGACAAGAACAATAGAAAATGCATAGTTGGAGGAACCAGAGTTGGATCAACTTTTGTACACAGCTGCTTTGTTTGAAGCTGGTTGGCTTGGCTGCACTTACATTTTCCTGGTCGTGCTCCGGCTGCACTGTGGTGAATGGTATGCGTGAGCATATTATTTGTGTGTCTGAGGCAAAAATGTTACAGAGAACGTACGTCTACTATCTTCAATGACACACAATAAAACTGACCTCCGAGCTGCCCGGACATAACTCACTATTAAATATCGTGCGCGTTTTTCCATTTTCCACTTCCAACAGTACAGTCCAAGCCATCAAAACTCGAAAATACTTTTCCGCATGATTCCCCTTCCCACTATACCCTGTCAGTGATGATTTGCACCTACACAGCGGAAACGGGTTGCTGAAGGAAAATATCTGAAGATGTACCTAGCTCCGTGGTGAAGGGCCTACTGGCCATGGCAGTATTCTAAGCGCATGATGAAAGTGTGGGGTGAAAGAAAACACTTTAAACAAAATGTAAAAGTAATGTTTTTACGTTGTTGTTAGTTTAGTTTGTTTTGGTTCTACATGTCTGAAACGTCCATTTAAATGTGTCTGGATGCGGGGGGGACACAAAGAGAGCTGACCTTGACCCCTCAGTCACTTAACACTCCTCAGAGAGAGGGAACCTCATGACCCCATGCTCGCTCCATGATGCCCTCATAACTTAGCGTGGCTGTGTGTGTGCGCGTATGTCAGTGTGCATGCATGCATGTCCACACTTGCATCTCGAAAGCATTTGATTGCTCTTTTTTTCCATTTGGGGGGAAATTTGTGTAATTTGCACAGGACTTGAAAATTTTCCGTAACTTTCACCAGTATCAAAGCAGACATCAATTAACAAAGAAGCGTGAACGCAAGTAGCAATTTGTATTCAGTACACAGTGGACACTGCTTTCATTCACTTAAAAGGCCTGCAATTAATTACAATGTTTATTTTCATTGCTTGTGTTTCCGAGAGGGTTTACTCATAATCGTAAGTCTGGAGACTGATATTTTCTTTAAAAATGCAATAAAACGGAACTTATTTTGGTGAAGGGAGATTTATTGCAGAACTGGAGAACAGCAATAGGTTTAAATAGGTGTGGGTCCATGGGGTTGTTCTTCAGTCAGCCAATAGCTACAATATGGCAGACTGTAGTGTGTGTGTGTGTGTGTGTGTGTGTGTGTGTGTGTGTGTGTGTGTGTGTGTGTGTGTGTGTGTGTGTGTGTGTGTGTGTGTGGGCTAAGGCCATACACAACATCAGCACGCACTATCCTCATATATTGCCTGGTCTTAAGGTCCCATATGGCACAACTTAGAGCACATGACACAGTGATCTCACACCAAGTGAATATTTAGCATGTGGCTTTTTGTGTGGCGTGTCCTTGCACAGCTCTATTTATGAGAACCAATTTCAGTCTCAAAGCATCATGGTGTTGCTTTTCTCAGTCGTGTTTGGTTCAAAACAAAATATGGGGGAGGGGATATTGAATGTAAAGTGAATATTAAGTGTACAGTTAGCCGTGAAAGCATCATCTCGACTTCTCAACCCCCCCCCCCCCCCAATATCTCCTTGGGGCATACGTTTCAGATTATGGCTCCTAAGGATATCTCTGAAATAAGTCCAAACACTCAAAGATTAATTCGTCGTGTAGTTTACACGGTGAAGTGAGATGTGTGTGTGTGAGAGCTGGGTCTTTTGACTTGAATGGAACTCAAGCCCAGCAGCCAGACACAATCTTTGGCTGCTTTTGGGTTTGTTTTTTTTTTCCATTCACAGGGGGACCTCTAGTGGCTCAAATGTGTCATGCAAAATGGTGGCAGAGGTCATCTCATTTTTCCAGATTGACAAAGATTCCAGTTTGTGTCATCGTTGCAAAAGTGAACCTGACGTATTTTATCTTTATCTGTTTGTATTTTTCAGGGAAGATTTTGATGAGGAGGGGTTCTGCCAGCCGTACAGAGGCATCGCCTGCGCCCGCTTCATCGGCAACCGCAGCATCTTTGTCGACTCGTTGCAGATGCAGGGTGAAATAGAGACCCAGATAACTGGTGAGAAACACATTTTTCTTAATATAAGTAGTGCACTCTCTCTTCTGAATAGGGTTGCAAATTGGGGAGGCGTTTTTTTTTTTCTCCACAAAAATGACCAATATTTCACTTTGCTCTGGATACTGTTGTCAGATAACGTGTTCTACGTTAAACATTTTTTTGTATTTGTGTTAAATTCTCTCAATTCCCATATATTCCTCTTAATTCACATGGAAGCATTTCTAGTTGCCAGTCAATTTCTTGTCCTAAATGTCTAGTTGATGAACATATTGCATCACAGTACAGGTCTATAAGCAAAGCCTTCATTCACAACTTCCTGTTCAATTCAAATCTTTACAAAAAATGTCTAACTTACTCCTAGAAACTTATTTCAGGGGCTTAAATAGAATGAAACTGCGTGTTCCATCCTCTCAATTATTTTACCGTTCAAATGCAGACCAGGCTGTGGGGTTCAAAGTGGGGAGGCGTTTTTTTTTTTTCTCCACAAAAACGACCAATATTTCACTTTGCTCTGGATACTGTTGTCAGATAACCTGTATTACATTAAACATTATTTTGTATTTGTGTTAAATTCTCTCAATTCCCATATATTCCTCTTAATTCACATGGAAGCATTTCTAGTTGCCAGTCAATTTCTTGTCCTAAATGTCTAGTTGATGAACATATTGCATCACAGTACAGGTCTATAAGCAAAGCCTTCATTCACAACTTCCTGTTCAATTCAAATCTTTACAAAAAATGTCTAACTTACTCCTAGAAACTTATTTCAGGGGCTTAAATAGAATGAAACTGCGTGTTCCATCCTCTCAATTATTTTACCGTTCAAATGCAGACCAGGCTGTGGGGTTCGGTAATGCATATGTTATTGATTCGACTAATGATGTCACCCAAAAATCTGGGAAGCGGGGACCACTGACAGAGCACATTTACGATGCCACTTAAGTAAGAGGTGTGAAGTAGGACTGAGAATTGTAGCTTTTAAGATGGCCAAAACACTTTGCAGCTTTACTTTTCAAGATGTCTTCAGTCATCTCAAAAATCACAATTTGAAGAACGTGTGCTTGTGGTTTGGAAAATAGCCAATTTTCCGCATTCACCTTTAATTGCCTGTCCGCTCCCCCACAAAGAGCTGCTTTAGCGATAATCCCCGCCACAAAGAAGCATATGTTTGCAATAACTGCACAGTCTATGAATCATGCTCTCATGCATTTAAAACTGCAGGTTTTTATTGTCAGTTGATCACTTTGATCCTTTAGGCATGTGCACAGTGAACTATATGAGTATGGCATTTGTTTCCTTATGTGTAAATTACTCATGTTATTGACTGGAAAACAATTTAAATGAAGGCATAAAAAAATCAATAAAGAACTTGACGATGTTTTACGGTATCTGTTGTCTGGAACTGACTTTGCCCGTTTTGTTCCCCAGCGGCCTTCACCATGATCGGCACGTCCAACCATCTCTCCGATCGCTGCTCTCAGTTTGCCATCCCATCTCTCTGTCACTTCGCCTTCCCGACCTGTGACCGCAGCTCGGGCGCCGACAAACCACGGGACCTGTGCAAGGATGAGTGTGAGATCCTGGAGAATGACTTGTGCAAGACCGAGTACATCATCGCCCGCTCGAACCCGATCATCCTGAAAAGGCTGAAGCTGCCTAACTGTGAGGATCTGGCAGCCTCAGACAGTCTGGAGGCAGCCAACTGTCTGAGGATCGGCATCCCCATGGCGGAGCCGATTAACAAAAGTAAGGCCCCTCTGATTCCTTATTGTACACAATCTAATACCCAACCTAATGAGAATGGGTTTTTAACTGCCACTTTCAAATAAAGTAGGTGTCCAACTCAACAGTGGTATATGGTTGGAGTTACAGCAGTGTAGAAATGCACTGGTTCATAATTGAGTGGTGCGGCTCATATTTTGGGACCTTATTTAGTGAAAATAGAAGTCAAGAATTTTTATTAGAGCTCTTGCAGTGTGGATGGGCAAGTGTGCCTAAAGCTGTGGCCAGTAATTGTATTTTTTTGATGTTGCCATTGTAAACCAAACAAAAAGAATCAACCTCGCTGATTCATAACAGAATCGACCTTAGTGGGATGTCGTGATTTGCCCACTCATCTTTGCGTGGATGCCCAATCCTGCCTGTAGCATTTTTTTAATAATTATTGACAATCCACTTTCTGATAGCGATAATATTTCAAATGTATATCACAAATCTTGGTGGCCAAGTGGTTAGCACTGCTTACAGTTCTGAGGTTGGGGGTTTGAATCCAGCCTCTAGCTATGTGTGGAATTTGTTCTGTTTGTTCTCGTATGTGGGTTCCAAAAACTTGCATTTAGGTAAAGAGAAGAAAAACAATTATCCATAGGTGTAATGCGAGTGTTGATGGATGTTGGTTTTTGTTTCCTGCGACTGGCTGGTGACCAATGCAGGAAGAACCCCGCCTTTTGCACAAAGTTAGCTGATCTCCAGCCCACCTGCGATCCTATTCAAGGCAAGCGGTGTTGAGCGTGAATGTATGGATAAATGACAAATCTCAATTGACTTTCAGCTGTTTTAAAGGAAAACTTCAGACATCTTGTCAACAATTGTACTTTGCGTAGGCCTATACATTTTTACAGGAACCCCAAAACATGTAATGCCGTCTTCTGTGCTGTTTGTCAGATCACAAGTGTTACAACAGCAGCGGATCAGAATACCGCGGCACCATCAGTATGACCAAGTCCGGCCGTCAGTGTCAACCGTGGAATTCCCAGTATCCACATAGCCACAACTTCCTGGCTGCACGCTACCCGGAACTCAACGGGGGTCATTCGTACTGCCGCAATCCGGGAAACAAACATGAGGCCCCCTGGTGCTTCACGCTGGATGAAGGGGTCCGCATGGAGCTCTGCGACATTCCCATCTGTGGTGCGACAGTGTTTACATTCACATTTCAGACATGAATTGAATACAATCAGCACGTTGTGTGATGGCATTCCTCATTTCCTGTAGACCATAAGGAGAAGTCTGGTGGTGGCAACATGGAGATCTTGTACATTCTGGTCCCAAGTGTGGCCATCCCGCTGGCCATCGCCTTGCTCTTCTTCTTCATTTGCGTGTGCCGCAACAACCAGAAGTCCGCCAGGCCACCTGCCCCTCGCCAGCCCAAACCGGTCCGTGGGCAAAATGTCGAGATGTCCATGCTCACAACAGCATACAAGCCAAAGGTACGTCACATGTTGAAATTAAACAGTGTGCCCCACTCAGTCCGTCTGAGATACCTTGAAGATTTGCCTGGATTTTTCTCATCCTAATGTAATTTCATCTCTTTTTGGCCAATATCTTTCTGGAAAAAAATCGGAATATTTATTGGAAATGTAGTCTGACAGAAGGAGGTTTAGGAGTGGTCAGAAAAGGAAGGCGAAACCAATACAAGGCTTAGAACAAGGCAATATAAAACCGAATACGATGTCATACACAGTAGGAGTTGGATTTTGTCTGTTATGTTTGGCGGGACGGTAGCGCTGCGTCCTGTGAGGAAAGGACACAAGGAGTAGAAATTGGTACTGGACGGGTATGTGATGCGAGTAACTAACTATTCAGTGCCAAAACACCTGTAAAGAATTTGAATGCAAAATCCAGGAAGTTAAAATAATCACAAGCAATAATGAGATAGTGGACACACCAGATGATTTGTCTCCAGGGAGACTGTGTGTCTCTCAAATTTATCGAATTCCCTCCAAGCAATTGAGTTTTTTTCCATGAATGTTATGAAAATATCACATGAATCAAGTTATCATTTTCAGAGGAGAAAAAAATTAGGACAGAGAAGATGGGAACAATGACTTGTATTGAAATTGCCTCTTTTGTTGTATTTGTTCCATCATCAGGCCTAAGTAAATTAAATTCTCAGACAAAAATATAACAGCTATTCATATAAGACATATCCCTACAGAAAAAAAGAATCACTTTTAGAATTGTGACTTTATTCTTCAAAGATGACAACTTTTTTCGGTGAAAATGTTTTTCCCCCCCTTTCTTTTTCTATTTGATATTGCAACTTTATTCTCATAACATAGACTTCTCATAACAGTCAACTTCTTATATTTCTATATTTTTTTTACATCGTTTTTTTTCCCTCTTTGGTCTACTCCTTGTTATTGCTTTAACAGTTCTGTTTTTATTAGGTTTATTTGGTTGTCGTGTGACATGGTGTATTGAATTTTTTATCAAGTCAAGTATCAAGTACAACTTTATTTTCAAATGTGCTGCATGTGTAACAAGACCAGTTGCGCTATACATGAACACAGATTCACTCATACTCACACACATTCTAGTCAAGTAAAATCATGTTTATTTATATAGCCCTAAATCACAGAAAAAGTCTCAAAGGGCTTCACATGCCTACAGTGGACAAGTATTAACGACATCCTCTGATCTTGACCAGGAGGGCAAGGAAAAACATAAGGGGAAAAATGAACAACATTGAGAAGGGTTTTGCAGATGGGGAAATCACATTTCCGGCCAGCGTGACCAGTGTTCAATGGCTGCTGAGTGGGCAACATTTAAGACAATATGATGGTATACAGTGTTAGTTAGAATAATGTCCTACTCAAAACCCAGCCCGTTTGGTCAATGAAAAAAATCTCCATAACAGTGCCTCCAAGTAAGTGGTCCATCTCAGATCTTGTCCAGATCAGTCGGAGCAGAATCTGTACAGCCACATCCAATTGTGTCGTCGTCGCCAAGCCTCCTCTCCAAACCGGAAAGGATGGCAGGGGAGGCCTCCCAACAGCCCAACATGTAGGTCAACTAAATTTTCAGCCAGAGACTGATACACCCACGCTTCAAGAAGGAGAGGCACCGCCGCTCGTTCCTACCGACTGCTGTCAGGCTATTGAATAGACCGGGGGTCGGCAACACGCGGCTCCATAGCCGCATGCGGCTCTTTAGCGACATCTAGTGGCTCCCTGGAGCTTTATAAAAAATGTTTGAAAATGGAAAAAGATTTTGATAGTAGGCTAATATAGCTCAAACAGATATAGATACATTTGCAGCTCCGAAAAAGGAGAGCTGTGGTGTTGGTTTTTTAAAACGTACACTTTATTTATGCTTTTAACAGTCTCGACAAACACAGACACATCTGCCTCCGACTCCGTGCCTTGTCTCTTCTTGTTCGACTCGAGAGGCGTTCAAAGACAGCCTCAGAAAAACGGAAATTAATGATCACTTCACTGACACTAAGAAAAGCGAAAATAATGCACCAAAACAAAAAAAACCAAGCGAGGAAATTACAAAATAAATTTTATGCGGGAGTTTGTGAACACACAACAAAGGAATGAATAACAAACAATTCTGAGACAGTCCAGTCTCCGACATACATACAGCATGTGTTTCCTTCATTGTAAGTTTTATAGAAGGCTTTTATTTTTTTGCAGCTCCAGACATATTTGTTTTTTGTTTTTTTTGTCCTATATGACTCGTTCAACATTTTGGGTTGCCGACCCCTGGAATAGACAGACCTAAAAACCTGGACTCACCCCCACTCCCCCATTTTTAAGATGCTTATATCTATATATTATCATTTATATTTATTTATATACATGTTGGTTTTCTGCTTCTCCCTTTCATAATTTTGCTGCTATAAAATGGGAATTTCTCCATTGAGAGACAAATGAAGGTTTTCTTAACTCATCTTATCTTTAAATGCAAGAGTGTACAAATAGGTCTTAAAGATAGAATGGGACAGATCTTAGCGGCAATGTAGCAGTCGAAAAACGCAGTTCTAGTAATATTATCGGGGTTAAGAAGCAAAAAATTGAAAGACATACATTTTTTTATTTCAGTAAAAGCGCGCCTGCAGATTACTGCAATTGCACGGATGTGTTATTTCCAGGAGCATAGAGGGTGTCATCAGCATCCGGGCCTGTTCACCCGTTATATTTACATATAATATCATATGGGATACAAGTCCGGGCCTGTTCACCGCCAGCTGGGTCGCCCGGGTGAGGGTGTCTGATATAAGACCCGAAACACCCTATGACCCCCGGAACATCAATGATGATGTTGCACCACTAGGTGTATTCAAATTCGACGGGTATGCCTGAATTCTCAATAACGGAAGCATGTACAGTAGATAATGAACAATAGAGGGTCAAGTACAAATCCCTGCGGCACTCCACATGCAACATTACAAAGCTCAGAAGTCACGTTGCCATGAATTACATTGTGCGCCCTCTCTGAGAGGGAAGAACTAATCCAAAAAAAGTGCTAAACCTGAAATACCAACAGGTATCGAGGCGTTTTAGTAATATGTTGTGATCGACATTGTCAAAGGGCGTGCTAAAGTCCAGTAATAGTATTGATGAGCTGTCACAGTCCAAAGCTAGGAGAAGATTATTAGTCACTTTAGCAAGGACCATCTCAGTGGAGTGGTCGGACCTAAATCCTGAATGAAGAGGTTCCAATCAATTGATTGCTATGTAATCATTAAGCTGTTGCGCTATGACTTTTTCAAGAATTTTCGCAATAAACAGGAGACTTGAAACCTGATAACTGATACTCTCTCGGTCGGGGTTTGATTTCAAGAATTTTCGCAATAAACAGGAGACTTGAAACCGGTCTATAATAACTGATACTCTCTCGGTCGGGGTTTGATCGCTTAAGTAGGGGTCGAATAACATCGGTCTTAAAAGCTGCTGATCCAGTGCCAGTGGAGTGTAATACATCAATAATTTTTAAGATGGAAGGTCCTAAAATCATAAACAATTCTTTAACAAGTTTGCCAGGAAGCGGCTCCAGCACATAAGCTGTCTGTTTTGCCATACTACTACTTTTTACACTTGCAACCCTTTTTGGGCTAGCCTGTGGTGACTCTAAATGAAGTCTTGTGTTTTGCCTTTTGAAGTCATGAGAGCAGACGGCAAGACAGAGTCATAATACAGCACCTCCCCGCCGTGTGCCTTTCGTCCAATAGCTTGCTGACTGCTGCGGTCATGCATCGTCGTGGAGATCTTCATATCTTTTTCATTAAAGCCCAGCAGGTCCTGGAATGTTTGACTACACTTCTTTTTGTTGCTCCCAAACTCCCCCTTATGTCACAGCCAACTACTGCTCCAGCGGTAGTAGAATGTAGTTTTCTCAAGGCTGCATGTCTCTCCGTTTTTGACCACATCACTTTGGTAGTGGTGGAGGGGAATTAATGAGATGGACTGTTGGCCTGTGTTCAAGGTGGAATGCAAAATATTCCTGTCACTGTTTCTGGAGACAACCATGGAATATGGCTGAGGTGTCAGGTGTGATGAATATCTTTTATTTACTTTGTCGTGAGGGGAGAGAGACAGGCCAAATGTTGCTGGCCTCCTTGCTGTGTTTGAATGACCTTGTGTCAGGTTTAAAAAGATCAAAAGGTATGTATGAATGGAATTGTCTTGCAGAAATTGCAGGGTCCACATGTGGGAAAACGCGATCTTCCAAAACGGTTGGAAAAGATGACTCTCATCTTATTTACATATATAATTAAGCGTTAAGCTCCAAATGGTTCGTAAACTTTGTCAAAGTCGAATTTTATTTGTTGAATAAGTATTTTTTTGTTGGAAAGTGTCTTAGAGAGCTTCATGGCGGGGATTGCCGTTTTTAACATTATAATACATTTCTAATTACACTGGTCAACACAATATTTGAATCAGAGATGTCTTTATTTGTTCCAAAATGTACTTTTGATGCTGATTTAAAAAAATGTCTTTACTTTTTTTCCAAGCACATGAGGTTTATGAGATATTTTCATGTTTTTGTTTTAAAGAATGACCCATAGTAGTTTGTGCAATACATATTTTACCAGCATTATAATCTGTAGCGTTGACGTTTCAGAATAAAATTCCACCTGTTGCGGAACCTAACCCTTATTTTATAAATCTTACTTAATGTATTCCTATATCACTTGTTATATTATAATTATTATGGAAACCTGATGTACTACAGATTTGCAATTAGCGCCAAACAAATATATATATATATATATAATAATCTAGAAAAGTTTCTAGATTATTATTATTATCTCAGACTAAAAAAATGTAGTCAAAATTTGCTGACCAGTATTAGGACTATTGATTAGATTTATTCATAATGTAATCTTTTTGCACCATTCTCCTGATTACATCGAGCCTAATCTATGACATTCTAAGGTGCTATTTTCGGTATGCCTCAATTGTCAAAAACGGAATAATTGTGTACACAAATGAACATGGATGAAATGAATGATGAAAATAATGATCTCTTTTGTGTACCCGGTAATATTAAGCAAAAATATATCTATCCACCAAATTTAAAAAATAGGGAAGCCGTTTAAGTAACAATACTTGACTCTAAAAAAAATGTGACGAAATAGATGTTAAGATTTCACAGCATTATGCGATTTCCTTAAAACCAGCAAAGTATTTGGTCTCCCGTTTCTCCCTGCGACTGCTTGGCTTCTGTGCAGGATCACACTGGGGTCAACGCCTGTGACAAACCACTTAGACACACATACACAACACTTACACACAAAACGTGGCGGTGTAAGGAGGATCTGAGGCTTTGGGTGGGGCGGGAAGAAGGGGTGAAACAAACTTTTAACTAAAAACATGTGTGTCACATCATGCACACACCCAGCCCCCCCCACCCCCAACCCCTCCCGTCAGAGCTCATGCAGGGCGGCCAAGATGTGTCAATGCACGACTGGAGTGCATCTTCAGTCTTTCGGTCAATTTGAAATCGTGTGATAGCATTCTTTTAAATTTGCAGAGAAAAAAAACACCCACTGGACGGCTATCGTGGTTACATGCATAATGTGATGTTTGATTACTTTCAAGTATCTTTAGCCGTCATAAAATTTGATGACTGGAAATATGGCCTTGGTACAGCAGCTACTCGGTGAAACCGAACGTACTCCAGAGTTAAGCATATGTTCAAGGTTGGAAATGCAATTTTGAACGGTTAACTCTGACATCTCTCTTTGCTCGGCTGCATTTGTGTGGTCTCTCTGTGCTGCGAAACAGAAGATATGCACAACTGAAAATTGAGATACATACATCTGGAATACATTTTTTGAATAATACATTCAAGATACAGTTGAATTATAAATGATTCCAATTAGACTGAAACTTTGCAGAATGGGAAATGAGACCAACAGATTTTTGAGGGCATTTTTTTCATTGCAATATAAGTACCATATATGAGTATGTTTGTATTTTATTTGCATTTATATTCAAAATAATAAAAATGCTTAAATAGCCAACCAGGATATTGATTGTTTTCCATCGAAGCCTTCATAATGCCACCCTTTTAAGTACAATCAAATGAATATACACTTTTTTTCTTGCTGGAGTTGCCTGTTCAAGCTTATTTTTTCAATATTTTATGCCGCAAAAGCTGTTATCTACCTCTTAGCAGGACACCCATCCTTGTATTTTGTTCTTGTGCAGGCTTCGCACAAAAGCCCTTTCATTGCGAGCTACTTTTTTGATCTTGTCAGAGTGTGCGCTGTTGATTGCACAAACTGCTGCTCATGACAATGCGGTTGCACAAACATGCAATGGGCGAACCAAGTTTTTCCCCGCTTTCAACCTTGGCAGACTTTTGTGCTCTATTGAGGGCTTTTTTTTTCATTTTGTGACATTCCATTGAATTGTACATTGTAATATAGCAGGCATCTTGCCAGCATGAGTTTAGAAGAAATACGGGAATTTTTACATGCGGGACAATGACGAGCAAAGTGCACACAAACTGTTCTCCCTCTGCAGAGTAAGGCCAAAGAGCTTCCCCTGTCGGCGGTGCGTTTCATGGAAGAGCTTGGAGAGTGCTCACTGGGGAAGATATACAAGGGTCATTTGTACTTGCCGGGCATGGACCAAGCACAACTGGTCGCCATCAAGACCTTAAAGGGCATCACGAGTGTCCAGCAGTGGAGTGACTTTCAGCAGGTACGCTTTCTCAGCATGTCTGCCTGAAAAATACGCATGTCAGTATAATGGAAAACTCTAAATTGATGGGAATGGTTATTTGTCGGTGGTCGACTGGCCAGTGTGTCGGCCTCACAGTGCAGAGGTGCACGGTTCGATTCAGGCTTCGGCCTTCCTGTGTGCAATTTGCATATTCTCCCCAAGCCTGCATGGATTTTCTCCAGGTATTCCGATTTCCTCCCACGTTCCAAAAGCATGAATGGCAGGCTTATTGAATACTCTAAATTGTCCCTAGGTCTGAGTGTGAGCGCGGATGGTTGTTCGTCTGTGTGTGCCCTGTGATTGGCTGGCAACCGTTCAGGGTGTTCCCCGCCTACTTCCCGAAGACAGCTGGGATAGGCTCCAGCGCCCTCCCTTGTGAGGATAAGTGGATCGGAAAATGGATGGATGGAGGGATATTTGTCTAGATTTGCCGTGCGATTGTCAGAGGCAACCAGTCCAGGGTGCAACCCAGCAAAATGTCGCAACCCCATAAAAACTGTCCCTGGAACTGTTTTAGATGAAGCTGATTTAGACTAATGAAATGCCAATGATGTTTTGGATTAGATTCCAAGTTAACAGTTTGTACCGTTTCTATTGCTGTAAAGGAATAGATGCCGTATACTCAATCTGAGTTTTAATATCTTGAAAAAGTCAACTCGCTGAATTCTACGGTCAATTTATTTATGTTCCAGTGGCAATTTTCTACTCTGCTTACCAGTATTTGCTTCCTTGCTTTCGTGGAACCACACACTGCGACAGTCTCCACATTTGTGGGGATTTCTAAAAAGAAAGGCGACATTAACAGGCAGTCATGCGTTTCTCCAAAGCTACTGCTTTGCCAGCGGAACGCTCTGTCTTCCCACAAGATCTGAAGCGTGTCCTGTTTTATTTCCACAGAAGGTACTTGAAATGCGGCAACCGACAAATGTGGCTGTGTATATTGAAAAAGGATTCTTTAGCAGATGTGTTAAAGGATGTTCACTGAAAATAGTTGAACACATAAACAGTAGTTCACCATTATCAATCAGGATGTCTGGGTCAACGTCAAACTTAAGAGAGAGAGTAAAATATTACCATTTGGTCTGCCTGAATCTCCAAATGAAGCATTTTTGTCAAGAAAGAACCCCTTTGTGTGCGATTATGTGTCTTACCACACTCATTTCACTCGCGTTATTTTGATTGCTGTTGCAGGAGGCCGCCGTGCTGACAGAGCTGCAGCACCCAAACGTGGTGTGCCTGCTGGGTGTGGTGACCCAGGAGCAGCCTGTCTGTTTGCTGTTTGAGTTTCTCCCTCAGGGCGACCTTCACGAGTTCCTCATCATGCGTTCGCCACATTCGGACGTAGGCTGCAGCAGTGATGAGGACGGAACCGTTAAATCCAGCCTGGATCACGGCGACTTCCTCCATATGGCCATACAGGCAAGAGCCCTTGAATCTTTTTTTTTTTTTTACAAGCTTTTTGAATGGAAACACTAACTTCTATAAAATAACTTCTATTTTTTCCAAGTTTGTATGTGCAACTTACATTACAGTAATCCCTCGTTTATCGCGGGGGTTACGTTCCAAAAAGAACCAGTGATAGGTGAAATCCGTGAAGTAGTGAGCTTTATTTTTTACAGTTATTATACAATACTGAACTATGTATACAATGAAACCAAAGACCAAAACCTGTTTTCAGGCCCAAGCACAAAAAAAAAAAAAAACGTTTTCAACAAATAACTATAATAGTTTTTGGAAATACTGTACTGTAAAATAATATTTTAATAGTCAGTACGAGGTTGACTGTTCACGTCAGTCAGTGCCTTAGCCAATCAGGATGCAGAACACAATTCACTGTTTAAAAGGATTAAAAAAACTGCACCAAAAAAATCCGTGAAACAGCAAAGCCGCGGAAAGTGAACCGCGTTAGAGCGAGCGATCACTGTACAGGTAGGGTGACCAGCTTTCAGATCTGGAAATAACAGAAGAAATTTGAGGGTTTGGCTCCCAAAAACCCTGAAATGTAGAGAATCACATGTATTTTTTTTTTTATATGTCATAATATGTAAGATTGAAGCCTCTGGACCCTGGGGGTCACCTGTCTGTCAGCAAGGAAGGAGAATTCAAGAAAACATTTCGACCCTTTCTGGGACAGCGATTACAACAGTGGACAGCTTATCTTGTTATCATGTTATCAGGTTACAGGGTGTATGAAAGGGTTAAAGTTAGCAATTATTATTTTTATAGACTGACGTAGCCCGAACCTGAGCATTTTGACCTGGCCTACTGTATTGTATCCATTTATAGGGACTGTAATTTAAACAAAGCCTGTCTGAGGGACACTTTTAATGAAAGCGGACAATACTTAAATTAAATAGCCTATAAAGTGCCGTAAATGTAATAACTGTCGACACCTTGACTTTAAGAGAAAGAAAAAAATGAAACACTTTTAAACGTGTTAACAGAGCCTGTCTGGGGACACTTTTACTATAATAAAGATAACTGTGATAAGTTTAAACACTTATGTGAATCCAAATGAAAGGATGAAAAGAATGGGGGGAAAAGTGCAAAACAATCAAGCAGCGGCAGTGCAAAGTGGCTGGACTGCCAGCGTGCAAGCAGACGGACAAAGGATTTGGCACAGAGCAGAGGAGAACTCACCAGACGCTGGCTACGCAGGAGGTCCTGCGAAACTCCCCCCCTGTTCATTATTTTTAAATTTAAGTGTTCATGTTTGTGTGTGACAGACGCATGAGACAATTGGGAAAATATGGAACAAACCGCGTCCCGTATTGGGAATGCAACATTAAATTCCCAATTAAAGGATGATTCCGTATTTTACGGCATGGGTGGCAACCTTAATTATAGGTGATGTATTTTGCATGCCCAAAACTTGTTCCATGCAGTTTCCCGAAATGTAATGGCAAATGGCCAAAAACGTTCAGCCGCTTTGCTACTACCTCAGTCATGAATCCTAAAAGTGAGACTTTGTTCAGAAGGCCGCCATGCATTTTACTTTTGTCATATATCATACATGCATAAAATTACTCGCTATAAATGCAGCTCTGGTTACTGCCTGTTCGTGTTTTATTTGAAGTTTATATTGAATACCAATGAGAATGACATCTTGAAATCTTTTCTATTTTTTTGTTTTTTTAATTAACACAACCTAGGTTGCTGCTGGGATGGAGTACTTGGCCAGTCACTTTTACATTCATAAGGACCTTGCGGCACGGAACATTCTAGTTGGCGAGCAGCTCCACGTGAAGATATCCGACCTGGGCCTCTCACGAGAGATCTACTCGTCAGACTACTACTGCATCCAACCCAAAACCCTTTTTCCTATCCGCTGGATGCCGCCCGAGGCTATCACCTACGGAAAGTTCACCACAGACTCGGACATCTGGTCCTTTGGGGTGGTGCTGTGGGAGGTCTTCAGTTACGGCCTGCAACCTTATTATGGCTTCTCCAACCAGGAAGTGATGGAGATGGTTCGAAAAAGGCAGCTGCTGCCCTGTCCTGAAGACTGTCCACCAAGGTATGTTTGAATCTGTATGCATTCGCCGGATAGTTTATTAGGTACACACTTGATTGCGGTCCAATACAAGACCTCCAGATTTAAAAGGACAATAATACTCAGTTATTGTAAGTCATATAGGTATGGCATTTTTAGTAAATTGAAAAATAAAATGGCGCCACCTATAGTTTCACTGTAAAGTAGTACAGTTATTTTGTGCACGCAATACTTTGTTTTTCTTTTCTGCCCCCCCCCCCCTTCAATTCTGCTGCTGTAGATTGCAAATTTCCCCAGTGTGGGACAAATAAAGGTTTTCTTATCTTTTCTTATCTTAACTCCAAGAATATCCACCTGTCAATCGTCAAATGGAAATCAAATCTATGAATCAGCATGAAAATGAAAGGTGGTCTTCAACACCAAAATGCTGCAAGGTGGATCCAAAGTCATTGGACAAAAACAGTGAATAAGTTAATTTTATCTGTGAGTAACAGAGGATAGGTTGGGGGGGAGGAGTCAGGGAAAACCGGAATTTACAAATTACCGAACCACAGATATGCAGGGGTTCACTGTATCAATCATTATGTCTGAGAGGAGTAACTTGTAACATATGGAAATTTCTACCTGCATCTCTTTTAACTGTGACCTGTGAATTCTTTTCAAATCAAATCAATGAAGAGGCTGTTTACATTTCTTCGTTTCACTAAACGTGAAAAGGTGAAATGATAAAGCCACATATTTGTTTACATTATTGTAGTCATCTGATTTACTGACTTATAAATGAAATGTATTATTATTTATTATTATTATGTTAACGTCACACTTGTGGGGTAGAATGTTGTGAAGATGTCGTGGTGAACGCTTAAAAGACTCCAATTCAAAGAGTTGAGTACATTAACTCTTTAATATTAATTTGTAGTTCGTTTGCCTCTATTTTAGCATAACATGAATTTATAGGGCTAAAATATTTCTGTACGATAAAGATTATATTTTTTTTATTGTAACTTGTGTTTGTTAAAAAAAATACACGCGAAGTGGTCCTGGAGTAGATGATTACGTATGAAATTGCAAATCTCGGAATTGAGGATCAGAAAATCACAATTAGATTCTTTTTCAAAATCCAGCCCTACTGAGAGCTATCAAATAAGTGATGAAAGGAATGATGTGTGATGTCACAGGTTCTATGGTTTGATGACCGAGTGCTGGCAGGAGGGGCCAGCGAGAAGACCTCGCTTCAAGGACATCCACAGCCGCCTACGAGCCTGGGAAGGGCCGTCATCTCACGCAAGCTCCAGCACGCCCTCCGGTGGCGGCGGCAACGCCACCACCCAGACCACCTCACTGAGCGCCAGCCCCGTCAGCAACCTGAGCAACCCTCGCTACGCCGCCGCGGGTTATCTCTACCCGCCCCAGTCGATCCCCTCGTCGGGCCAGATGGCTCCCATTCCAGCATGGGCACCCATGGCGGTGCCTCAAACACACCCACGTTTCATCCCCGTCAACGGCTACCAAATTCCACCAGGATATGCGGCTTTCCCTGCGCACTTCCCTCCCCCGGCGCCGCCCGCTCGGGTGATCCAGCATCACCTGCCGCCCCCTAAAAGCCGTTCGCCCAGCAGCGCCAGCGGCTCCACCAGCACAGGTCACGTCAGCGGCGGTCCCTCCACCACGGGCTCCAACCACGACGCCAACACGCCGCTGCTGTCACACTGCATCATGCCGGGGAACGGCGGAGGCCCGGTCCAAGTGTATGGACAGCTAACACAGAAGACGGTGGGACAGCTGGACCACACGCAAACATCAGCGCTGCTCGTGCCTGACTCTGACATGCTGATGTATAATGACACTGTCATCACTGCAGACCTGTAGATTACAAAAAAAAAAAAAAAACAGGATGCTCATCGTCTCCCACTTGCGAAATGTTGCCTCTCATCCAGCCACCCGGGCAAAGAATTAAATGGCGACTGTGTGGAGATTGGCCTGAACAAACATTTGGGCCTGCGCCAACCACACACGTACATTCATCCCTCAATTTTCTTCACAGCTTGTACTTCTTAGGGTCACAGGGAAGCTGGAGTCTATGCCAGATGACTTTGAGCAAGAGGCGAGGTACGTTCTGGACTGGTCTCCATCCAAATCCCACAACATGTTAACAAGTGTACTTAATATCATTGCGTTTCAAATATATGTTGCGTCGTTATTTTAGCCTTTGTACAATATACCTAAATACAGAATGAATGAATGAATGAATGAAGGAATGAATGAAATTCGAGGTTATAAGAGAACTTTTAATGATGGCGTCATAGAAGAAGTTGCCTCCAAGTGTAAGTGGATGATGTTGCAGTTTAATAGAGCACCAGTGTCAGTCAGTTAATAATTATCAGGAGACTTTCTAGCTTCAGCGTGACTTACTTTCAGTCGTATGTTTGAAAATACAAATTCAGTTTATCAAGCCTTTTCTATGAAGCAATAACTAGAAATTGCACTGACATGACATGCTCAAACCAACAACATGCCACAAGTGAAATTTAAGGTTTTCCGCCTTTAGGCGCCAAAGATTATCTTTAACATTTGGGTTGATGCATCAATCTGGCAGCTAACCACATATTTCTTAGCTTGCTTTTTCTCTGCTATTTTGTGCCTTACTTCCAGAAAATATCAATCAATCAAGTCATCTGCCACGGATGTCATCATACATAGAAGCTGACGTGTCTAAGGTCACATCGGTTGTCCTATATAGCCATTATTTTCCCCATCTCTCAATCTCACAAAGGAACATTTTAGTTTTTTTGTTTTTTTGTTTTTTAATGTTTGGATTTTGAAGGAAATTGTCCTTATTTGGTTACTGCCTCATTAAAGATGTGGGGAGTTGTGCTACCTTTTTATGATGAAATATGTTAATTTTTTTATATGCATGAATTATTACCGCCTCAACCAGAAGAATGTTATTATATTTAATTAGACTGAAGAAGAAAAAACAATGTTTGCCCTTGAAAAGGATTCCTGTTTGGACTGAGGCTGTAATAGAGAAAGACTTCACAAGTGTACTTACAGTATTTGGACAGCAATTCGAATATTCACACTTTTCTTCAATACTCTTGTGATTTATTTTCCTTTCCGTTGTCTTGAGCAGTTTTTGATGATGATCAGATAGCAGCACATGAATCCCTGAAACAGATGCAGCTTTTATTGAAACTGTTAGAGAGCTCGTGTTATTGAACGTGACTACCTATGAAGCCGACAATCACCGCCTTGTGTTCTCGTTTTCCTCTCTGCATATAAATTTGGACCAGTTCTATTTAGTAGAATTGTTTCTTTCGTAACGGCACAATCCAATTTAGAAAGTCTCACAGTTTAATGTACACATTCAACTCTTGTGATTCTGCTTCAATCGAACTTGATGCAAATAATATTAGATTTTATTCTCCTCATATCCAGCCCAAATTAAGTTGACATTTTTTTCTTTTACAAGCAATGTTTTGGCTCTATCAAATGTAAAGGATTTTGCCTATTTGTAATGTAGCAAATGCAAATAGTACCACTTGTATGCGAGACTGTGAATTTTAATCAAATCGAAGTCCTTTTTATTTAGTGAAACTATTGTACCTTTTGTTTTTACTCCTTTTTTTTCTTTAAGAACAAACTGTAAAAGTCCATTTTAATTCATCATTGGGTGTCAATTTGAGGAGGTTTACGTTTTTGTTTGTCCCATTTGACCAAGAGGCCTATGATTTGTATGAATACTTTTGCACAGGTGTTTTTGTATTGCAGTCATTCATTAAATGATGTTTGATTTACGCGGGAGTTAAATGTGATGACTAATTTGTAGGGATACTGTGTACTGTTCACATCTGAGCAATGTGCAACGTTTCAATTACTAGTTGACAGCAAAACTCATTTTTTGCTCCCCAACGGTTTCACTTGGGATATATATATATTTTTTTTTTTAATGGCGTAATAGCAGTCCCAATTGTAGGCTGCAGGTGGTACCCTTGAGTTGTATGGGCCTCGTGAGAGTCATCTGGTAATAAAATTACTGCATGACTACATCAATTTGGCCTGTGAAGGAAACATGATTCTGGATTAGTTTTGGGGCGCGCGTGTGTTGTGTGCACTTTAGATGAACATAATTTCAATGCCCTTTCCGGCCCTGTACACACGCGTCAAGGGATCCTAAGGCAGCTGGATATTTTGGAGTACAAAAGGGGTCCTCCTTTCGCGACGCACGATCGATATACGACGTTTTAGAGTTACGAACGGTGCACAAGCACAACCATATTGTCCCGAAGGCACGGTTATTGTTTTATAGATTCATACTCATGACCTGAAATGACAAAAAACGAAGCTTTCCCAAATGACACCACCAGCAAGCAATACTGAGATGTGTGGGTAAATGGTTTATATGATAATTAGTCGAAAGCCTCTAACCCGACGCCTCTCTCCCACCCTCATCCCTCTCTCACTGTCTCTCTGAAATCAAATCTTGGTTCACCCATAATTTCCTTAAACTAAACAGCAATAAAACAGAACTCCTCCTCGTCGGTACCAAAGCTACTCTCAACAAAGCCGACAGTTTTTCCCACCAAATTGACAATGCCATTGTTTCTCCCCGTCCCTTACTCACTCCTCACTCTACTGCTATCCTAGTTCACAGTCTCGTCACTTCCCGTATTGACTACTGTAACTCACTTCTCTTCGGTGTCCATCAAAAATTCCTCCATAAACTTCAACTTGTTCAGAACTCAGCAGCCCGGATCATCACGAGAACCCCCTCCTTCCATCATATCACCCCCATCCTCCGACAGCTCCACTGGCTTCCTGTCAAATCTAGAATCAACTTCAAATTACTTCTCTTTACGTTCAAGGCCATCCATAACCTTGCGCCCCCTTACCTGTCAGATCTCCTTCAAATTTCCATTCCCTCTCGCTCACTCAGGTCCTCATCCTCCCTCCACCTTTCTCTGCCCTCTGCCCGTCTCAGCACAATGGGGTGCAGAGCCTTCAGTCGCTCTGCCCCCAAACTCTGGAACGCACTACCACCTGACATTCGTAATATTGACTCTCTTTTCATATTTATCACCCAGCTCAAAACCCACCTATTCAGACTTGCCTATCCACCTTAAATCTTTTTATTTTTATTTTTACTTTTTTTACTTTTATTTTAAATTTTATCTGTAGTTTTATTATTTGCTCTTGGTTGTACAGTGTCCTTGAGTGCTATGAAAGGCGCTTGCAAATGTAATCTATTATTATTATTATTATAAGTACAGTGAAAAAGACTCAGATACAAGTACGTTATTCAAAAGTAAGAAGTACAGTTTAGGTATTACTTCATGCAACACTAAGGAACTTTTCAACCGTCATAAAATATTTCCATAACTTTTCTGATGAAACATCGACTGAGAACAAATCGAATGGTACGTTTTGTTAGTGGCATGAGGGGTCTGTGGCGCTTCTCCTGACACTCAACTTTGAAGAGGTTGGCACGAACTCTGCCACACACAAAACACTACAAATCCGCTGACTGTCATACGTCACGACGTCCCCATGCCTTACAAAGACGCAACAAACCCAAATGCACCGTGTCAAGAAAAAAAAAACAATATAATGACTGCAAACCACAAGTGGCCAGTAGTTTGAGTAAACCCAAGACGAATTCCTGTATGTCCCGTGCCATCCTGTCTCTTTGTCAATGTCATTTTTGAATTATTAAAAAGCCTTTTAGCAATTCAGAAATTGCAGTGGAAATAACCGTCACACATTAATTTTAGTAATAAATGTATATAGTTCTCCATATAAAATTCTAATAGTAAAAGGATAGCAGTGGAGGAAACAAGACAATGTGAAGAATCGAATAGTAGTACTTTCCCTGAGGGATTGATCTGTATATTCGTGCAAATTGCGCAAGGTTAGTATTCAAGCAATGCGGCACCTTCCTGCCGGGATCTGAACGTGTATCTACGGTGAAATTATCCAACATAACGTTTTATTTACCTGTATCAGTTTCAAGGCAGTAAACATATCGGGTGAGGGGGCGGGCAATTACGGTACAAAACCAAAGTTAAATATTCATTTTCAACATCGTTACATGACGTAATGCGCTGGTCCTTATGGGATACGTGGTTTTCCCTCCGGCAAACACTACCGCTTTTGTCCGTATGGTGCCGTCATAATCAACGTAGACCGAAAGCGGTGCTTTAAGTACAAAAGTGTAAAGGTTTACTCCCAGTTATACTGAATACAGTTGATCAATTTTGACAACTTGGCACAATGAAATAAAGGAAGCTCTTTAATTTCGCTTTTTTAACCTTCATAGTGCTCGTACTGAGATTTGGGGGTGACCATGGCCACTCCATGTCACTCTCTCTCCCACTCCCGAGGCCGCCGTCACACCTAAGGGTACATTTCTATATCTGTGATTTTTCTGCCATTTTCACATCGAAGCCGTATTCTTAGATCCCTTGACACTCTTCCGCAAGTTATGTACAGTATATGAACTGCATACTTAAATAATAATATAAACACGATCTAAACGCAAACGAATCTGTCTTATGTCAAGAACATTTCATTCTTACAGACATCAGACAAAATTATTACTTTCACATCATCCCAAACAACATGGCCGAGAAGTCATTGTTTATCATACCATGCGCAGTTATGGTTTCAGTAAATAAAATGTACACCTATACCAATCTTCCACTCACACTCATAATACAAGCAGGAAACAAATTATAAGAGCAATGTTTAGAATTGTGAAAAATTAAGAGACTTTTGTGTCATTGTGCTTTTTGGATATGATTTTAATGAATGAGCCGTTGATCCCAGTCTGCAAAATGCTGTCTGCTGTCTGAAAGCTGGTCACTCTGATTGTCTGTTAGGTAGCAATCAGTGCAAGAAATACGAGTATGAGATGGTAAACAAAAGCACAGAAAGTGCAAAGAAAATGGCATTATGAAGTAAATTTGATAAAGTCTGTTTTACTTAGACTTGTTTGTGCTTGATTATGAGTATGATGAGCATTGGTCTTGGATATGTGTGAATTTTACTTCATTAAACCTGACTGTGGATGGTACGATAAATAATGACACATACGTATGCAAGCATCCACAGCCATCTGTGGCCACCCTTTACCGAGTTGTTGTACAACCCGGGTTACCCCATTGAAACATGTCTGGTTATGCCTGTGAGTGAGAAGATAATAACCAGTGGCTTTTGTTCTCAAAACATGTTCCCAAAGCATTGATAATTTTGTCAACTGGCAGGGGAAAAAAAGCCAAATAAACTACTGATAACAGAAAAAAAATACACAATTCTTTTGAATAAGGCCTTGGATATCTTGCTTCTCTTAACCTGTTGTGTCATTGTTTAGACTCTGTGGTTCACATCTTGGCTTGTAAACCCCCAAGGTCTCAACATATCAATCAATGAATCGAAATATTAACCACTGGTCACTGCACCTGTCTGAAATTGCGTCTTTTCTATGTTTTGTCACCCTCTTGTTTCAAGCAAAGGGCGCAACATCCTGTACACTTATCCAAAGCAGCTACTCTCTGTCCACCAATAACAATCAAGCCTCAAGTGCAATGCATGCCACGGGAACCCTATTTGGTCTTTTGAGTTATTTGGCTGTTAGGTTTTTGTTGTTTGCTTTGAGGTAAAGAATACAAGATAAGATAATTGCTGGCTGAATAATACCAGGGAGTGGTGAGTTATCGATAAAGTGCAGTGAACGGCCAAGTGGGGTTAGTTAGTGTGGCTTCAAAGCAAACTGACCTAAAGAGGAAGGAATCCAAATTTATGTGGCTAATCCTTTCGGGTCTTGAAAAGAACAGAGGAGCAGTGCAACGATGGTGCAATGCAGAGATGAAGAAGTGTTCATTTTGCAATCAGGACGCATCCTCTTCCGTCGGGAGGATCAGAAAGAGAGTTGAGGGATTCTCTTCAACTGTTCAGAGGATTGATGTGTGAATATTGAAGCTGTTAACTAGAACATGGAGTGAATATTTGTAAATTCATGCAATATTGATGAAGATAATACAGTTGATTGCTCGAGAAAGAAGAGAAGCCTCAACACATGTTTATTCTGTTTGAAGTTGTTTCATTTCACAATTTGAGGTGATGAATGTTTTTGAAGTGCAGATAAATTGTTTTTAAAATGAAAACGATTTTACTCGTTCATTTGGTTTACAATTCACTAATTAGATAAAATTTGTCTGGTTATATTTTTTGTAACGTTCAGAAATATTTTACTCTTCCTTTATTCTTTTATTATGGTTATTTGTAATGAGCATACACTCATCAATTTCAACATTAGGTATTGGACCTGCTGAGTTTTATGCAATCAACTACAAGCAGGGTGATTGTCACTGATATTTGAAACGTACAATCTGTGGTTGTAGTTTGCAGTGGTCTACAGCTGTCATGTATCATACAGATAGATGCTTATCAAATATGGATCCTATTAATATAGCCAAATAAAGAAACCAATATATCACAGGGGATATACAGTATAATGGAATAGTTACTTTTTTTGTTTCTCTTTACTCTGAGTGACCACCTACCCATCCATCCGTCCATCCATTTTCTAATCCGTTAACCTCACGAGGATTGCAGGCATGCTGGAGCCTATCCAAGCCGTCTTTGGGCGGTAGGCGGGGTATACCCTGAACTGGTTGCCAGCCAATCGCAGTGCACACGTAGACGAACGACAATTCACACTCATAATCACACCTAAGGATAATTAAGAGTGATCAGTCAATCTACTGTGAATGTTTTTGAAATGTGGGAGGAAACGGGA